GTCAACTTGTGACCACAGGGGGGATCAGCCAGAGCTGAGGACAGCAGAGAGGAGAGACAGAAGGAACTTGGTCCTGGATGGCACTGACCAGCGGCTGCCTCTAGTGTCAAAAGGGAGTCCTTTCCATGGATTTTCACTTCGGAGAGATAACACATTTTCTTATAGTTTAGGCCAATCTGAGTTGGTGTTACTCAAAGGGATACAGGTTTAAAAAGTTTTAGAAATGTCTACTATTTTATTTATTTATTTATTTATTTTTGGCTGCGTTGGGTCTTCATTGCTGCATGCAGGGTTTGTCTAGTTGTGGCGAGCGGGTGCTACTCTCCATTGCAGTGTGCGGGCTTCTCATTGCAATGGCTTCTCTTGTTACAGAGCATGGGCTCTAGGCGTGCGGGCTTCAGTAGTTGCAGCACGCAGGCTCACTAGTTGCAGCATGCGGGCCCTAGAGCGTGCTGGCTTCAGTAGTTGTGGCACGTGGGCTCAGTAGTTGTGGCTCGTGGGCTCTAGAGCGCAGGCTCAGTAGTTGTGGCTCATGGGTTTAGTTGCTCCGCAGCATGTGGGATCTTCCCGGACACAGATCAAACCCGTGTCCCCTGCACTGGCAGGCGGACTCTTAACCACTGCGCCACCAGGGAAGCCCCAAGTCACTGTTCTATACAATGAATCTTGTGCAGCCATTAAATATATTTGCAGATAAGTAAAGAGCTTCATGACCTACTGCTAAGTTTAAAAAAAGTAAAAAAGTAAGTTAAATAGTACTATTAGTAAAATTACATTTTTAATTAATGTGTAGAAAAGGGAACATATATAGTAAAATGTTAATAGTTATCTCTAGCAGGGTTGTAGGGTATTTTATTTTCACTTTTTGTACTTTTTCATATTTTTCTGAATTGGGAGAATAAGCATTTTTACAATCAGAAAGAAAGTAAACTGGAGAAGTTATTAAACTGATTTATATTTCTTTTAACATTATGTAAAATAGGGTTATTTATTCCTATTTCATATACTTACAATAAAGAACAAATAAAATAAAGCATAGAGCACAATGCCTGGAAGAGAGTAAGCATTTAGTACAGGTATCTGAAAACTAAAGCTCTTGACCGGCCAATTGTTTTTGCAAATAAAGCTTTTTGGAATACACACCAAAAAAGGAAAGTAAAGACTTTATAAACTTTGTAATAGAGACAATAGGCAATGAGTGGAATTTCCTAGTTATTGTCTGAAAGAATTTAGAAAATCACACCCATATAATATCACTAGGCAATGAGTTGTCCTTAAGTTTTTAGAATGTTTAACTGAAAATAACACCATTCAGTTTTCCAACAAGAATTTATAATCAAGTGTGTTTTCCAATATATTTAGATTTCACATTTATAACATGATACTAACCCCCAGTCTCAAGATAGTGATTAGATTAACTAATGAGCTATAATTATAAGAAAAGCATTACATCAGCCACATCTTTCTTCACTGTATACTTATCTTAATAAACTGTAAATAAAATTGAAGTTAAGCAATAGCTATATTCTAGCTGTCTGCTCTCTACATAATCTAAACCAAAGACATCAACATAACTTTTATAAATTCTCAGTAGTTAACTCAACACTGAGTTTCACATCATCTCCAAGCCAAATATATACATTTCCACTTTAATAGTATTGTCCACTACAATGAAAACTTGAACAACCTACTTTTGCCAGATTCGGGGGGTCTTCAATAACTTCACATCTGCAAACATTAAAAATTAAAAGCTAGGACTAATGACATGCTTAACTGTGGCTATCCCTGGCTTGTGTCCTGGTTACTTCAGAAATGCCTTTTCTCATTTCAGCAAGACAGCATTTTATCAGCACATCACCCCTCTAAACTCCCGGTAAGCACTGTAAACCATATTCTATTGGAACAGTCTTTACTCTGAAATGTCATATTCTTTTTAACTTTGAATGGTTGCATTTCTTTTTCATCATTCTATATTCAAGATTAGCAATGGTATTTTTCCTCTACTGACTTCAACTGATAATAACTAACTACATGTTTCAACCTTAAAAAAGTATTAGAACACATAAATGATAACAATACTCAATAAGCACGTAATAAAAGCTAGTATCTTCTGAAATGAAGAACAATTTTAATTGAACTTCTCTTTAAAGAAATTCCAGGAAAATGATGATACGTCTGCTTTAAAGAAATATGCAATGAACATAATCAAGTACTTTCACCTGGCAGCTCTACTGCTGCCCAATCAGCTTTATCTGCTTCCGTCTGTTGGATGCCGAGCACATCCCTCACCCCCCCACCCCAGTCTGCTCTCCAAGATGTCTCCCATACTACTCCCTTTCTTCACACTCACAAACATCTTTGTTCATGCCCTACCTAGTGACTAAACACATTCTGAGCAGAAATAAAACACAGTAGAGCAACATGTTAGAAAGTCAGGCTGCAGAGAACTCTGGTCCCATTGCTAATCTACATGAAAATACAAGACTGAGTGTGAGCGGTTCATTTGCAATTTTTAAAAATTATTTCTGCTGTACTGGGCCTGAGTCCTTAAATTTTTTTTCCACTAAGTAATACATTTTCACTTTGAGTTAACTTTGAACAAATGGATACATTTTTAAATGAAAAGAGCTTACAGAGCAGTTTCAGCGTGCTACTTCAATTTGCAAAAGGAAAGCATAACATCCACCTAAAACAAAACGTTTTTACCTTAACAGCAGTCGCTAGTAAAGCCCTCACCTTGTGTCAAATCCCCGAACAATCGCACCCATCGACTTTGCTGCACCTGCAGAGGCCAGCCCTGCCACACCGCCACCGACTATCAGAATCTAGGAAAGAAGGCAGAACCCATATGTTTTAAATAAAGTTCATGATCAACTGATTATGTAAAATCATCCGCTAGTAACTCTCAGGGCCGGGTACACAGTCAGCACGCAGTAATACAACAGGTGGTGCTGGTGGCGATGATCAGCCCTGCATAAATGTACTGTGTGGATAGGCTACTCTGTACCTGGACCGCAGCTGTTTTTCGGGTTTTTTCTTTCTTAGTTGCAGCACACGGGATCTTCCTTGCGGCATGTGGAACCTTTTGTTGCGGCTCACAGGCTCTTTGTTGCAGCGCAGGGGTTTCTCTCTAGTTGTGGTGAGCAGGCTCCGTATTTGCAGCACACGGGTTCTCTAGATGTGGCTCGCCAGCTCAGTAACTGCCGCGCGGGGTCTTAGCTGCCCCGCGGCATGTGGGATCTTAGTTCCCCAACCAGGGATCGAACCCCCAAGTCCCTTGCATTGGAAGGTGGATTCTTTTTTTTTTTTTTTGGAAGGCGGATTCTTAACCTGGACCACCAGGGAATTCCCCCGGACCACCACTGTTTTAAAAAGTTTTTTAAAGCTGATGGCAAAGGCCAAAAACTTCACTAAAACTAGTGTGACACTCAGCATCTCAGTGTAAAAGCTACATACAGCACCATCAGTGTTACGTATGTTAAAGACTGACAGGTTCTTTCCCACACTATCAAAGCTACTTCTACCTAATACTATATATTATAGTATTCTAGCTCCCTCTCCCCTCTCAAATTTTAAGGTTTCCTATGTTCATAAAATATCAAAATAAGTTTCAAAGACGGGTACAACTTTGGTGAAACACCTACTCCTATTCTGAGCTTCCAAAAGGAACAGCAGATTAACAACCACCTAATTTTGATCCACTTTCAATGAACTGCACCTGAAATCCGAAGCAATGTAACTAATCTCCCTAACCAAGGAAGGATCAGAGCCAAGAAAATCATAGAATTCCTCAGAAACAAGAGTCTCTCCGCCTTCTAAGAAACAAACTAAGAACAATGTCATCTGGAATGGGCCTTCCAGAGAAAAGACCTATTATACTTCGCAGTCAAAAAAAAAAAAAAAAGCCACCCACAGAAACTGAGAAGTTTATAAATTCCCACCCACCCATCACGCCCACTTTTTCTGCCTGTTTAAGAAGACTAGGCTAGTGGAACTCTGCTCTGGTGACCCCTGGGCAGTGTCTCAGAGATTATGTGAATTGATCTTAATGGGAATGCTTTCTCTGGGGAGTCTACAAGAAACGGGACAAAGAGGGACCAGAGGGAACAAGACGCTGCTGGGCTCCAAGGCACCAATCCCCACCACCACTAAAAAAAAAAAAAAAAAAAAGAAATGAAAATAAGTAAAAGTCATAGGACTGGGCCAAGTTATCCTGAATCAAGAAATAACAGCAGGGGCTTCCCTGGTGGCGCGGTGGTTGAGAATCCGCCTGCCGATGCAGGGGACACAGGTTCGTGCCCCGGTCCGGGAAGATCCCACATGCCGCAGAGGGGCTGGGCCCGTGAGCCATGGCCGCTGAGCCTGCGCGTCCGGAGCCTGTGCTCCGCAACGAGAGAGGCCACAACAGGGAGAGGCCCGCGTACCGCAAAAAAAAAAAAAAGAGAAGAAAAAAAATAACAAAAGACCCCATGATTTAAGACACAGAATCCATTCTTCAAAAAGGGAAGAGGGGCTGGAAATGGAGTTAATGATCCATCACGCCTACGTTATGAAGCGCCATAAAAATCACAAAAGTACAGGGTTCCAGGAGGTTCCGGAAGCTTCCAGGAATGGTGTCCAAAGAGGGCATGGAAGCCCCACACCCCATCCCACGTACCTTTCCCTAGTCATCTCTCTCAACAGGATGTTCATCTGCATCCTTTATCATAGTCCTTCATAATAAACTGGTAAATAGGAAGTAAATTGTTTTCCTGAGTTCTGTGAGCACCTCTAGCAAATTAACTGAACCCAAGGCGGGTTGTGGGAACCTTTGACTTACGGCCAACCTGTCAGAAGCACAGGTGACAACCTAGACTTGTGACTGGCATCTGAAAGTGGGTGGGGACAGTCCTGTGGGCCTACGTCCTTAACCTGTGAGATCTGATGCTATCTCCACGCAGATAGTTTCAGAATTAAGTGAAATTGTAGGGCACCCAGCTGGTGTCACAGAATTGCTTGGTGTGGGGAAAATCCCCACACATTTGGTGACTGGAAGTATCAGAAGTGAAGTGTTCTATATGAAAGTTAAGGAGAGACACAGGAGCAAGAGTGGAGTTTTTCCTAAACGATTCTAAATCAGACATTCCCTCATCTGCAAGAGGATCTGGGAGTTCCCTGGTGGCACAGTGGTTAAGAATCCACCTGCCAGGGACTTCCCTGGTGGCGCAGTGGTTAAGGATCCGCCTGCCAGTGCAGGGGACATGGGTTCGAGCCCTGGTCTGGGAAGATCTCACATGCCTCGGAGCAGCTAAGTCCGTGCGCCACAACTACTGAGCCTGCGCTCTAGAGCCCGCGAGCCACAACTACTGAGCCCACGTGCTGCAACTACTGAAGCCCGCACGCCTAGAGCCCCTGCTCTGCAACAAGAGAAGCCACCGCAGTGAGAAGCCCGCACACCACAACGAAGAGTAGCCCCCGCTCGCAACAACTAGAGAAAGCCCGCACGCAGCAACGAAGACCCAACGCAGCCAAAAGTAAATAAATAAATTTATTAAAAAAAAAAAAAAAAAAAAAGAATCCACCTGCCAGTGCAGGGGACACGGGTTCGAGCCCTGGTCCAGGAAGATCCTATGTGCCGCGGAGCAACTAAGCCCGTGTGCCACAACTACTGAGCCTGAGCTTTAGAGCCCGCGAGCCACAACTACGGAGCTCACGTGCCACAACTACTGAAGCCCACGCGCCTAGAGCCGGTGCTCTGCAACAAGAGAAGCCACCACAATGAGAAGCCTGCGCACCGCAATGAAGAGTGGCCCCCGCTTGCCACAACTAGAGAAAAGCCCGCGCACAGCAATGAAGACCCAACACAGCCATAAATAAATAAATAAATAAATAAATAATTTTTTTTAAAAAAGAGGCTCTGAACTCTGTAACATGACCTAGAAGAAAGGCTCCACATCATCAGATCACTCTCCACCTTGCTCACCACACTCGAAGACCAATGGCCTTCTTCACTCTCCTAGAAGCACTGAATTCTTTCCCACCACGGCACCTTTATGTGTGCTATTCCCTTGGCCTAGAATCCTGAACCCCGCTTTCTTTCTTCCCATCCTTTAGGTCCCAACCAAATGTCAGAGGCGCCTTCCCCATCACCCTAACTACAGTAGCTTGCTCCTATGACTCACCACCATATCATGCTGTTCCTTTCTTTTATATCTAAAATGATATCCCATATGTGTTTGATGGTTTATTTATCTCCTCGCTGTGGTCCCTACTATGTGTAAATTTCTGTGGCAGGGATTTTTTTGCCTTGTTCATGCCATATCCCCAGCTACTAGAACAGTGCCTGGCACATCAGAAGCCATCAACCGATTGATTTTAGCTCATTCTAGACATGTAAGAACACTCCATGTTTAAAGGAAACCCCAATAAAATATTATGCAAGCTACTTTTTTTTTTTTTTTTTTTTTTTTTTGGCCGTGCTGCACAGCATGCAGGATCTTAGTTCCCCAACCAGGGATCGAACCCACGCCCCCTGCAGTGGAAGCACGGAGTCTTAACCATTGGACTGCCAGGGAAGTCCCTAAGCAATCTACCTTGATAAGTCCATCTATTGTCCAATTCTTCAATATCAGGGAAGTTTTTCTGACATGTAACTAAAATCCCTTAAGCTGCAATTTAAATTTTCAGTAAAGAGAGTCACTTTTTCACCTTTTAAAAGCTGACTGATTCTCCTTCCTTTACACCTCTTGTCTTCCGTTTCACTTTTTAATCCCTTATATTAACAGCTTTCCTCTCACCTTCCAGACAGATTCTAGCCAACACTGAGTAGTGGATTTATGCATCAAAGCATTCAGCCAGTCTAAGAACAGCAGCCAACTTCTGGCCACCATGAGGGTCAGACCTTTTCTTACGATCCCGAGAAAGAAGTCAGATGTAATCACTTTACGTATCACACCTCTGTGCTGTTTGCTCATACCCTCTTGTTAAGTTTTCTGGCCTCCACTTGAACCACGTGCCACCGTCTTCACCTGGTCTGTTTTTAAAGCCATGTATAACTAGATTTCTCAAAGCTGCTATTATCTTTTTTTCATTTTTTCTAGGAGATTTATTTTGTGTGAGAGCTCTGGGTTGATATAACGAAGTAATTAAGAGCAGGAAGCACCAAGTAAACCTGTACCCTACAGAGTATACTCTGCAGATAGATGACAACGTTTAAGGTCCTGTTTCCTATACTCTGCTGAAAGGCTTACACTATTATTTAGGGTCCGTGGCCTCGAAGGGTCACAGCATAATCGATTCTTTCACCTAGCCACCACCACCTCTCATCAACTGCTCTTCTCTGCTCTCAATATAGATTAAAGAAACTGCACCCTTTCCCCCTGCCAAACACCCTGATTATACCACCTACTATTTCCTGTCCTCTTGACCCAAAATTTGGCAAAAAGTGAGAAAACCAAGTCTTTCCTGAGCCCGTGTGTCACAATCATTGGGAAGTTGAGAATTTGCTGAATGTATCACGAGGCTTTTTAAACAATTACTAATAAACAAGTCATCCAAAATCCCTTTAAGAATTCAAGTTAGAAAGTGAAAAACAGGAAAAAAAAATTGAACTTCCAGAAATGTCAAAATTCATTGTTTTCAAGTAACCTTAAGTAGCTTTGAGGCTCTGCCATATATTTGTATACGACATGAACATCATAATTTGCAAACAAAAAAATTTTAAATAACTATTTAAAAACTATAATACCCTTGCCTAATTCATAGTATGAAGAAATATTAAAATTTTACCTACCTTAGCTGGAGGAACTTTTCCAGCAGCTGTGATCTGACCAGTAAAAAAACGTCCAAAATGATTTGCTGCTAGTACAACAGCCTTGTAGCTTAAGAAAATAGAAAAATAAATGGATAAAATTCTATAAAATTAAAGAACTTAAGTTTATATAGGAGAAATTATTAAAGAATAAGAATAATAGCTAACATTTTTATAGTGACTACATCTGTCAAAAACAGTTCTAAGTGCTGTATATATGCTTACTCCTAATCTTCACAACAATCCTATGGATAAGTATAACTATTATCTTCATTTTATAGGTGAGGAAACAGACACACAGAGGTGAAGAGACTTGACTGAGGTCTCTCAGCTAGTAAATGGCAGAGCCAGACGTCTGACCCTGGCATGTTGCCTACAGAGGCACACTCTTACCCGTGACGCTCTCTGACCTCTTTGTAATGAGCACTACAGAAGCTCAGTTGGGATTAAAAAAAATGAAGGGAAGACAAGAAAATGCTAACAATGGTTTTCTTTGGCAGCTGGGACTACAGATACTTCAAACTTTCTGTTTTACTTTATTGTTCAAATTTTCCTTGTTGACTGTGTAGTCTTTATATAATAGAGGAAAAAAATCTTTCAAATTAAAAAAATTGGATTGGCTATATGCTTGTACATAATAAAATTCCAACCTCACAACAAAAAACACTTCCCTTGATCTCTAATGGTTGAAACCATGGGATTTTGAGACAGAGTGACCTCAGTTCAAGTCCAAGTTCTATCACTAACTAGCTTTGTGACCTTGGGCAAATTTCTTTAGTTCTCTAATCCTTGGTTTTCTCATCTCTAAAATTGGAACAAAAAGAGTCTCCTTAGTGTTGTGAGGACTAAATGAGATAATGCAGGTAAAGCCCTTATCATAAAACCTGTTACAGTAAGTGCTTAGTAAATATGTTTTTAGCTAAAGAAATGCCCTATGTATCAAAAACTAGTAATTTATACCACCTTTTCTTTAATAGGATATTTTTATTACACTAATTTCATTTCCTATTACATTAATTTCACTCTCATTTTATACTTAAAAGGCACTTTTGCACACTCTCAGTAACACACAGTCTACCTTAACATTATGATACAAAGATTAATATCATAATGCAAATATTATAATGATAAGATCCACCTGCTAGTTGACAAAAAAACCTTTCCCTGGTCATATTTTTGTAAAATAATACTTGATATAATAATGCAAAAGCATGGAACAGTTACCACTATTACTTTAAGTTAAATCATATTAGAGCAGAAAAATATTTTAATGATTACATTATTTGTTAGTTTTGAATCCAAGTGATAGAAATTTTCAGAGAGAAAACATGATAAAGATTCAAAGGCCACTATAAGGAATTAATTTTGGAATTAACGTTTTAAGATTCAGTTGTTATACTGGAAAAAAACAAAAACGAGACTGATTACACAGGAAATGTACAAGAAAACGTTGATAGTGGGAAAAGGTGATAAAAGTGGGCCTGTTTTTGATGAAAGCAAAAAGGGTCAGAATGAACATCAGGGAACTAGAAGGAGGGTGTCTTCACGGTAGGACAGCTGTGTGTGTGAGTTAGATAATGATTTATCACACATTGTATGGGTAAATATACTAGGTGATTCATCTCAAACTATGCCTTTTGCATATACCAGCTCAGGACGTAAGGCAATGATTCTTTAAACCGTGTCCCTGGATCGCCAAAAGTTCAAATTTCAGCCAACTCTGGGGCCATTGTGGCTGGGATGGAGAACAGGGAGAGAATGTTTCTACACACCCTTCCATCCCTCAATTCAATGAAGACCACTCTGTTCTTATTGGATTTGTTTATACTGCTTCATATTTCATTTGCTCAAAAGATTCTGCAGCGGAAAACCACTGATCTAGAGCTACTGGTGGGGATAACCTTTCACACATGTGCATTTCACATGACAAAAATCAACAGCACCCTTAAAATTTTACTTTGTACATTTCCTATATAAAATTTTAAGTCCCATATTGCATAACTCTTCCAGAAACTAAAGAAATATGACAAAAGTTTATTTTGTCCCTTAGTATTAATTCACATCACAAGAAATATCTTCAAACCAACCATTTGCCATATTACATAAGGACAACAAAATGTGTTGTTAACTTGTCCTTTTTGTTTACTGCATCTCATTTATATCAAATGTGAACAAGTTGAAACCCAAAGTGGAATCTGTGGCACATTTGATATGCTACATCTAAGATATGAAACCTAAGAAAACTTTCAGTTCATGTGTCAGCTTTAAGAGTCTATTCAGGTTAGTCTTTTTTCATGTGTCGTTTTATTTTTTAAATATTTTCATTTGTCGGTGCCTCATTCATATTAGCAAGTTGTCACTACTAATAGTTTTCATGCTTAAAATCTAATTCAACAGGCTTCTTAGATGAGCTGATTTCATAAGCATCATCTGACTTCCAGATTTTTCCCACTCTCCAGGCAGAGTCAGCAATACACTGTACTCACATAGTTATTCCTATCCCTGCCCCGTGGCAGGCATGGTTACTCAGTCAGAGCCACATTCCTCTGAGCTGATTGGGCCTTGGAATTCTTTTATACACAGTGGTCCAGGCAATCAATGGGGAATGAATTAGTGCTGGTGGGCGAATGAAGTTTACTGCCATCTTGGCCATAGTTAGCCCTCAGTTATCAATATGGGTTTTGACACCAGATGAAACTTCCTCAAGCGCACGCATTTTCCCTATTCATTAAATATTTTATAAATTTACCTATGTAAAAGCTAATTAAAATGGTAAATCTACCAATATGTATATATTAGATTGAACCATATGAAACTGCTAATAT